TATCCGTTGGTACAGGTAATAGTTATTTCTAGCAAAATTTAAATCTACAGAAACAGGCTTCTGTCTCCTATAAGGTAGTATGCTTATGCGAGAATACACTTAAAGTTTTGACTTACGTCTTCTATCCAATTTCCCTATATATTTACGGTGATACATGAAGCGCGAACATCACACAAATAAAAGACAACCTTACGCTGAAGTTGCATAGAAGACACCCGTTTTCAAATTATTTTAAAGAGTGATAAATATGACACCACGCACATAAGGCTCTTTCTCTACTTCAGTCATCCAAAAGCACCTGCAATCCCGATTTCCTGGAGGAATTTGAATTTACAATCACCAACGAGTCGCCGAGATTCGTGAATATTATCGTCAAAGATGACGAGAATCAGGCTGGCAATGCTGGCATAACTAGATCTTCTCATCTCGGAGAGTGAGTATTCTCGGATTTTTATGTATTTTTAATGATACTGCATTGATTATCTAACGTCTATTTACAAAACCATTTGCTCATCAGAAAATTCGCCTAGAGAATGGTTTCAATTGTCTCCGAATTCGCTACCAGTATGCTGTCATAAAGCAGTAAGTAATCTGCGAATAAAAACGTTGGAGGCTCCGAAAAATGCAATGGACTTAACTTCCTCATAAATGCCGCAATCCAAGGAAATGCGTGTTATCATAGAAAATGTCACAGGCCTACTTTATCCATTTTCTTAAAATAAACACCCACGGGGAGTCAAGCGTTTCTACGCCGTCATATTCACTTCTATAGTTATAAAAGTCGTAGAACACTCAAAGAGGTACCTTGCGCTAAAATTCCTGGGTGATTAGAGTTAGGGTTAAGAAAGTAGTAAGTGTTACGCAAAGTATTCGGTTTGTTTTAAGGTGAGGACGACGTTGAGGGATAAGATAGGGGTTACCGTCCAAATTCAAGTAGATTTTGGATTGAGGTTCCAGGTGAGAGTTGTGTTATGGGTTAGATATGGCGAACTAGTTAGGGCTAGGATACTGAAATTGTAAGAAGAATCTAAGGAACTACAATAAAGGAGCCTGGTTAACTAGCCGTCATCAACCAGACACACCATATTGATGCACCACCCGAAGCTCGAACTAGTAACCTGTTTTTTAGAAGTCCAACGCTCTAATGAGTGAGCTATTTGTTGTGCGGAGTTATTTATTTCCATGTACTACAGTGTTGCTGAACATTAAGGTGATAATTTTTCGTGTAGATATCCCTTAAAAGTAAACCTTTACGTTTGCCGAGCTTCCGCGTGCACGCCATGTAGAAAAAGGTTATTCGAAAAGCTGCTAACTAAGTCCCTCTTCGAGGGTCTATAGAAACGCAATATCTTAGAAATAGTTTGTCGCCAAATTTTGTCTGACGGAAATGACCCAACCAAGTTATTAAGTGTCAAGTTGAATGTTTTTGAAGGCGCCAGACGT